CATTCTAACAGCAATATGCACCAGTTCTTAGTTTCTGAGATCAGTTTCTACATTCCACACATTTCTCACAAACTTCTTCTTGGCCATTAGGTGAAAAGAGAATTGCAACTGTTTACACAATTCGTCCAGAGGATACCCATTTGGAATTATTAAGATATTAAGATTAAATATTAGCACTGCAGAAACCTCCAAGGAGGTCCACAAGCATAGGGCACAGGTATCGATGGTAATCATGGAAATCATGAATGGGCATTGGCAGTTATTGTATGGTCGACATTTAGCAGCCTCACCTTATCCAATATTAAGTCTTCTGTTCCCTCATCAGCAATGTCTGATACTTGTTCAAGCTTGTGCTATGCATTTTATGAGAATTATAATCATTTTTATACTGCCTAAGCTTTCAATGGATGTCATGATTTTTTATCCAAAGAACCTGGGAGTTGGTTATACAAACTCTTACTAGCATAATTGGGCATTAGAGAGGTTGGTGTATGGTTTGCTTGTACCCCCATATATATGGCCTTTGTCCGTTGCTACTGCAACAAGAACACAGCAGACTGCTGAATTCAATCTATTTTTTTCCTTCTCCCCATTGATTTATCACATTCTTTTTAGTTTGAGTCAAACGGTAAATAATGCAGCTCAGTTCATTGGATGATAGACAGGAAACCAACAACTTAATTTTATCATTGTGGTTACCTCCTCACGCCCTGAGCACCAGGCAATGCCGCTCCTCTCGTTCCAGCTTATCTTTCTGATCTTTAAACCCAACAAGAAAATAATCTGTCACAGGAAATACATGTGACTGAGGAATTGAAACTTGTTGGCTTTTGCCCAAGGATCAAACACATGAGAAACAGAGCAAATTTGGGGCATTTTTTATCTCCTCTTTTCTTCATATCCAAGATTTATTACAATGCTTAGGTTTATATAGCACCCACACAGATCAATAGGATACATACAAGACTGTTCTAAAGACAGTGTATAGGAGAAGGCAGTTACATACATGATGTGAGCCAGACAGCACATGTTACTCAAATCAAACGTTCTTCCTCCTGAGTCCTGATGCACACGCTTCTTCCTTCGCACTGTAAGTTGTGGTTCTTCCATCTTAAAGCTAATTGTGTAGTTGTAGTAGGGAGGTATGCGAGACCTCCATAAAAGAGCCTCGAGTTTCCCACGTGGTAGTGTACCACCACGTTCTAACATGATGTCCTTCACACTGATGTTAGGGACATTCTCGCTGGAATCTGACTGATAACAGTTGCAAATCAAGAAATATCTGGGGCTCTTCACCAATCTCCAACAATACACCGGCGCATCTTCCCGCACACGAAGGTATGGGTTCTGGTCAAACATAAGGAGATGTGCCTGTTTACTTGCTCTTACACATTCAAGAATTGCGCGCCAGAATCGACCATTGAATTTATGTTGCAATAACCCAGCAACGACATGCGCGCATGAGAAACACTGTCTCTGTTCCAAAGCGATCTCCATAGCCATAGTTGCCAGTTTTGGATTCTTGCCAGGGTTTATGCTTCCAAATGCAATCGACTTGAAAAAATGCCAATAACCTTCTTGAGAGAGATAGTCCAGTTGAAGTGCTTCCATTGTTCCCAGATTAACAATTCTGTCTGACCGACTGGTGATTATGATTTTGCTCCCGCCACAAGGTGTCATGCAGGTTACGGAATATTTCAGACTTCCTCTTGATGCACACGCTTCTTCCTTCCTACTGTAAGTTGTGGTGCTTGCATCTTACAGCTTACCATGTAGTTGTAGTAGGGCAGTAAGCGAGACCTCCATGCAAGAGCCTCAAATTCTCCACAGGGCAGTTTACCACCACATCCTAAGATGATGTCCCGCAGATTGATCTTGGGGACATTCTCATCGGAATATGACTGCTGATGGTTGCAAAACAAGAAATATCTGTGTATCTTCACTAATCTCCAACAATACACCGGTGCATCTTCCCGCAAAAGAAGGTAGGTGCTGGCCAAACATAATGTGATTTATCTGTTTACTTTCTCTTACACATTCAAGAACTGTGCGCCAGAATCGAGCATTGAAGTTATGTTGCAGTAACTCAGCAACGATACGCGCGCTTGTGAAACACTGTGTCTGTTCCAAAGCAATCTCCATAGCCATAGTTGCCAGTTTTGGATGCTCCCCGGGGTTTATGCTCCCGAATGCAATTGACTTGAAAAAATGCCAATAAGCTTCTTGAGAGAGATAATCCAGTCGAAGTGCTTCCGTTGTTCCCAGATTCACAATTCTATCTGACCGACTAGTGATTATGATTTTGCTCTCACCGCAAGGTGTCATGCAGGTTGCGGAAGATTTCAGCCTTCTCCATGTTTCCTCGTTGATATCTAATGCTGTTCCCATGCCTGACTAGACCACTAATGCTGTTCCCTTGCAGGTTGACCACTTCTTCGTCCTCAAGACTACCTTGTGGAAAGAAGTGATCACGCACACTCCCATCCCTACAGACATACTCAACAAGGGTGCTCTTCCCTACTCTTATTGGACCAACAATCGGAAGTACAGCCAAGTCTGATGTAGCACCAGGACTAAGCAAGAAATTCAGAACCTGTTCCCGTTCCATTTGGCGACCAAACATGCAGTTGTCCAATAGCAAATACATACCATAAGGTTGGCGGAGGATCCGAGGATACAGCTCCATGAAGAAAAGAAACTCCTTCATACCAGCCACGGTGTCTTCAAGGGTATCAACCATCCGTTGCAGCTCGTCTTGTATGTTGTTGTTTGTGCCAAACAACAGTGCTTCTCTGTTGCTGCTGCTGCTGCCACTGCGGGTGCGAGAGAAACGAAGGCATTTGGTTGGACTGGATTTGGACAGTGCAGATGACGAGTGGCTCATCTCCTCCTCGCCGCGGGCGGCTTGGAATCGCAAGGCATCGAGAACATAGTGGCCTCTGTACATTCCTTGCCTCAACATCTTGAGCTGACGGAGCATCCCCTGGTTGGTGATGTGCCGTGCCTCGGCCTCCTCGACGAAGATATCGATTCTCAGTAGGACACTCCATAGCCTCTGTAGAATCTTATTGATGTCAGGCTGCTGCTGGAAGTATCTGCTAATCACGAACGATGCAGACCTGCTGATGAGGTCACCCACGATTGCAGAGACGAGGATATCCATTGATTGCGAACCACCTCGACTCAGAGCTCGAGTGGTGCAATGGAAGAGGGATAAAATTAGCAATGGGTGATACTAGATATTTGGGGGTGTTACTAAATTTTGACCAGAGACCTGGGCCGGTGTTCTGGATGGAAGATTTAAAGGCGACTGACTATGGCAAGGTAGTATGAGGCACTGTGGCTAGTGCTGGATGCATCGGCATGCTATATATACGACGTGGTGGTGCCCTGCTAATGTTTGAGTAAGTCTTTGCCCGCCGTGTGAAATTGGGTTTGACTTAACTTGTGTGGACTTGCTGCTTCAGTTTCTTTTCTTTACTTGTACTGTTAATTTGATATATGTCACTGTCAACTTGGTGTATTGAAAAATGCCTCTGCAAAAAATGACTTACGCCCTGATTGGATTGTCGTTTTTCATGCTTTACACCCGTAAAATATACGGACCTCAATCCGTCGTTTCTCTTTCCAGTTGGAAATCAGAGTATTTAACAAAAAAACTACCACAATTCGTGGAACCGTGACTACAAACTACCACTTTACAAATTTGTACGAAAAACTACCATTTTCTCGTTAATCCTTGACTAAAAACTACCATATCTGAAAAGTGTCCGATTTGACTCTTTTAAACGCGTTTCTGACTAGTTGGGCCCACACATAAGTGGGCTAAAAAAACAATCAGGTCCCTATTTATTTTTCAAAAAAGCAACCCAGTCCTGTAGCAGCGGCAGCGGCAGGAGGAGGAGGAGGATGGTGGTGAAGAGCGGAGGCGGCGGCGGCGCGGAGGAGGGGGCCGCGGACACGGCGGTGCGACGGTGGGCTATGTTGTACGAATACTTGGATACGTATCGGATACGCGATACGGAGATACGTCCAATACGTCAATTTTCTAAAAACATGGATACGGGGATACGTTTATATATAGATGTTACATATATTAATTATTACAAATATGAAGAAAAATTTAAGTAACTTCTAGGTCAAAGCATGCCTCAATACGATTACCCCTTTCTTTTTTTGCACTTAGTCCACTTCCATTAATTGGCAGTGAGATTTGCCTAGGTTTGCTGTTCCAATCAATGCATCCACACTCTCTTGCTCACCTTTCAATTGAACAAAAACATTGACAGACATGTTTTCACATGAACTCACGCCCATGTTGGGAATCTTCAAAAGGTGTGCCTTCATTATTGAGGGGATTTCACGTCAAAAGAGGGGTTATAGGTATCCAAAACGTATCGCAGAAGTATCCTAGGAGTATCAAACATTATTTTCTTTTTTTTAAATTGATATATCGAGGGATACTTACGGGATACGTATCGGGCAGTATCGGGGCAGTATCCGGGTATCGGGGCAGTATCCGGCTGGATACGCGCACTTTCTGAAGTATCCGTGCAATGTAGACGGTGGGTGGAGGCCGGCGGCGCGGAGGAGGGGGCCGCAGACACGGCGGTGCGGTGGTGGGTGGAGGCCGGCGGCGGGAGGCTGGTGCTCGACGGCGGGCTGGCCACGGAGCTCGAGGCCCACGGCGCCAACCTCAACGACCCGCTCTAGAGCGCCCAGTGCATCCTCTCCTCCCTGCACCTCATTCGCAAGGCAAGCCGCCGCCGCCCAAAAACCCCATGTGTGATGTTCGCCGGCCCTCAGTTGTGGCTGTGGCCAGCCATGGCCGCACAGGTTGCCTGCTTCTGCTCCCGCTCCTCACCATCACTACCGCGTCATCGGCGGCGCTCCCGCTGCTCGTGCTTTTCTCTCTCAAGTCCTCCCTGAACGACCCGGCCGGCGCGCTCAGTCCGTGGATGTATGCCGCAGTGGCCTCCGCAGGCGCCACCCGGTCGCTCTCCCCTCCGTGGTGCGCATGGCCCAGCGCCGTGTGCGACGCGGCCACTGGCGACGTCGTCGGGGTCGATCTGTCTTGCCACGGGCAGCCATGGCTGGCCACAGCCACGGACAGGGGCCGGACTGGATTGCTTTTTTGAAAAAAAAACTAGGGACCCGATTGCTTTTTAGCCCGTTTATGTGTGGTCCCAACTAGTCAGAAACGCGTTTAAAAAAGCCAAATCGGACACTTTTCAGACATGGTAGTTTTTAGTCAAGGATTAATGAAAAAATGGTAGTTTTTCGCACGAATTTATAAAGAGGTAGTTTATAGGCATGGTTCCATGAATTGTGGTAGTTTTTTATTAAATACTCTGGAAATCACATCTGACTGGCGATATACATCTGTAAAAAAAATACGGGTGTATAAATTTACCTCGATTCCAAGGGGGGCCTTAAGGAAATGCCATCTGATTTTTAGAAATGTGTCTAAGATTTTACTTTGGTACACTCCTCTTAAAAGTTTGCACAAATCTTAAATAAAGTAACTTAAAAAGGCTATCACCATATTAGCCTGCAGATTAAACATTGATTTTGATACAAAAGACTATATTATCGTTCTTTATTG